ATAGTGTATATATGTGCAAAAAACGAATTTCACTCATAAATAAACTATTAATAGTGTAAATAAAAATAGAATAGAAGAAAATAATATGTATGGGATTTTAACAAGAAATTTTTTTTTTATATTGGAGAAAATAAAATTTTTTAGTAATGAACATTGAAAAATTTTGAATGATGAAATTATGACCGATTTGTTCTTGAAATTAATTTAACTAATTAACCGAATTTACAATCAACTGAATATTTATTGAACCTTAGTTTTACTTAAACGAATATTTATTCAACTAAATTTATATTGAAAAAAAATATTTATTAAACCGAATTTTAATTAAAGGAATATTTATTCCACGGATTTTCTATGGAACCGAATATTTATTCAACCAAATTTTCATTTAATCGAATATTTCTTCAACCGAATTTTCAATTAATGGAAAATTTATTTAACAGATTTTTTATTGAACCAAAAATTTATGTGACGTAATTTCTAAAATCACCGAATTTTCATTTGATCGAATATTTATTGAACAGAATAATTTAACCGAATATTCAACCGAATTTCTGAATAACCGAATATTTACTGAACCGAATTTTAATTAACGGAAAATTTATTCAACATATTTTTATTGAACAGAAAATTTATTTAATTAATCTTCTACTGAACCGAATATTTATTTAACCGAATTTCTATTGAACCGAATATTTATTAAACCGATTTTTCAATTAACTGAATATTTATTCGACTGATTTTTTAATCAACCGAATATTTATTCAAGCAAATTTCTAAAACAACCGAATAATTATTCAACCATATTTTTAATAATCCGAATATTTATTCAACCGAATTTCTGATTAACTGAATTTTTAATTAACAGAAAATTTATTCAATAGTTTTTTTATTGAACAGAAAATTTATTTAACCAAATTTCTAAAATAACTGAATTTTTATTTAATCGAATATTTATTCAACAGAATAATTTAACCGAATATTTATTCAACCGAATTTCTAAATAACCGAATATTTACTAAACCGAATTTCAATTAACGGAAAATTTATTCAATAGATTTTTTATTGAACAGAAAATTGATTTAATCAAATTTGTACTAAACCGAATATTTATTCAACCGAATTTCTAACTAACCGAAAATTTATATCTTTACGTTCACAGTTTTTCTGCAGATATCAAATTGAGATAAAAAAGGAATCAAAAGTGTTGCGAAGCAACATTTTTGATTCGTTTAAAAATTAATCAGAATGATTACTAGTAAATTTTCTCTATTGAATAATTTTTTTTCACATTGACACTTTCCACTGTTGAAAATCTTCCTCCTCATGGCATGGATTTAATAAAAAGAAAAATTGTCTAAACTACTCCATTGTTTAGGGATTTGCATATTGGATATCGTAATGCAAGAATAAAAAAAAAAGGAAGAGGAAAAAAAAGTGAAGCGATGAGAGGAGAAAATTCATAAGGTAAAGTAGAATGGATCGACATATTAAGGAAATGTTTCGAGAAAGCGAATGAGATACGGTTTATAAATAGGGAGGTGGATTAAATAAAATATGGCTTAGATAATGACTAAATAAAAGCTGCTTAAGTTATGAAGTTGAAACAATAGGTTACTCGCTGTTCCACATTATTCACTTCTTTATCATTTGAGCAAAAAAAAAAAAAAATCCCATTCGATCCAGCACTTCAAACACACTTTAGTTGTGGGTTGAATTTATTCAATATCGAAGCTAAGGATTCTTTTATGTCAAAACAAAAAAATAAAATGTACAAGTTCTATTTACTTGTGAAATTCTCCTCATGTGTTTTCATTTCATTTTATACAATCATTAAAATTGCCATTTTTCAATTTTTATTGTTGCAAGCTTTTCAATTTTTAATTTCAATTTTAATTATTGTAATTGCAATTATTTAATTTTTATTTCAATTATTGGAATATTTTAATTTTAATTTTAATTTCAATTATTGCAATTTTTTTAATTTGAATTCCAATTTTAATTATTGCAATTGCAATTATTTAATTTTAATTTTCAGTTTCAACAAAAATTCTATTAAATAATGAAAAAATTCTCTCGATAAAAATTCAGACAAATAAAAATTTTATAAAAAAAATTCTGTCCCTAAAAAATAAAAGATTAATTAAAGAATAGTTCTGTGTAATAATATTTTACTGAACTAAAAAAATTTGATATTTTAATTTTTAATAATAAAAAAGAAATACTATTAAAAAATAAAAAAAAAATTTGGTTGGATAATTTTCAATACAAAAAATTAGTCAAGTTATTCCGAAAATAGAAGTTAAATTAAAGAACAGTTCATTAAAATCAAATTTCAATAAATTAGACAGAATTTTATTTAAATAAAAATTCTATTATCTAAACAATAAATAAAAATTCGTTTCAAAATACAGTACAAAAGAGATCTACACAGAACAGTTCTTTATATTTTTTTAAATAAATAAAAATAAGTGAAAATCATTAAATAAAAACGTGTAAAATGGAAAAAGTCCACTAAAATTCAAATTTTAATAAACTTAATGAAAATTTAAAAGAAATTAAAATTCTGTAAAATAAAAAATAAAAAAATATTTGACTAGATTAAAGAAAAAAAGAATGAATAAAAATTTTATAGAACAAATTCTGTTAAGTTACTCCAAAAAGTAGAAGTTTAAAGAACAGTTCGTTAAAATAAAATTTCAACGAACTAGACAAAATTTTATTTCAACGATTAATTAAAACAATCTGTGCAATAAAAAATGTTAATAATATAAAAATTATTTCATGAAAAAAGTAGAATTTTTATTAAAAATTTAAAGATGTAAAATGTTCAGTAAAATTTAAATCTTAATAAACTCGAGAATCTATTTTGTGAAAAATAAATAGAAACTAAAATTATGTTAAACAAAAAGTAAATAAAAGATTTAATAAAATTATATATAGTAAAGAAAAGAAAACTACACAGAACAGTTCTGTTTTTTTTTATATTATACAAAGAAGTAAAAATTATTAAATAAAAAAGTATAAAATGTAAAAATTTCAATAAAATTCAAATTTTAATAAACTAGAGAATCAACTTTATTGGAATTTAATAGAAATGAAAATTCTATTAAATAAAAAATGAATATAAATTCGATTAAAATTTGAAGCAAAAAAGAACTAAAGAACAGTTCTGTATTTTTGAAAAGCATACAAAGATGAAGAAATTATTGAATAAAAAAGTTCAATATGTATAAATTTCAGTAAAATTCAAATTTTAATAAACTACACAATCGACTATATTAAAATTCAATAAAAATGAAAATTTTATCAAATAAACATTAGGAAACAATCGATTGAAATTACAGTTCTAATGAAAACTACATACAACAGTTCTGTAATTTTTATAAATTATGTAAACATGTAAAAATTATTAAATAAAAAATGTTAAAAATTAAAATTTTACTCTCTATGGAAGTCTAATCGAAACAAAATGTTCTGTAATTTTTTTTAATTATACAAATACGAAGAATTTATTAAATAAAAAAAGTAAAAAGTTCAGTAAAATTAAAATTTTACTCTCTATGTAAGTTCAATGAAAACAAAAAATCCCGTTAAATAAAAAATGAATGAAAAATCTATTAAAATTGCAGTAAAAAAACTACAGAACAGTTTTGTGATCTTTAAAAAAAAATTATACAAATTCGTAGAAATTATTAAATAAAAAAAGTAAAAAGTGTAAAAAGTGCAGTAAAACTTAAAGTCTAATAAACTAGAGAATCGACTCTATTGAAGTTCCATAGAAATTAAAATTCTGTTGAGTAAAAAATGAATAAAAATATTCGGTTAAAATTGCATTAATAAGAGAATTACAGAACAGTTCTGTATTCTTTCCATTGAACTAGTATTAAAATACGTTCTTAAAAAAATAAACAATATATAAAGTAAATTACAGAGAAATAATAATGCTCCTAATCTGAAAATGATCGACTCTTAAGTTTAAATATCGATTCAGTTCGCGTATAGAATCGATATAAAGTTGAAGCGAGTGGGCTCGTCGGCGGTGGGCCGTAATAACGGGAAAAGTAAATCGGATCGCCTCTCACTCTTGACCGAAGCGGATAAAGCGGAAAAATTCAAATTCCAGCTGGCTGTTCGCCATACTCAACACGACGGTTAAGCACCGATCCAAGCATATTTACTCACTCGGGAGGCAAATGAGAGCAGTTACTTAACGCATTTCTGAGAAAGTTTGCAACACCGTCGTCATATGCACACTAAATTCACCTATATTATCCACAACACATTTCCAAAAAGAAAAAAAAAAAGAAAAGAAAAAACCGCAACATGAAATTACTCCCGCAACAAGAAATTAACATTCCTCTTTGTAAATATCTTCCCCCTTTTTCTTTGATCCGTTAATTAATTTTCGCAGCCAAAAGGAAAAGAGAAAAATTCAGTACAGAAAATATTTTCATTTAGAAAGAAAGTTACCGAGTCAAATTTTCTTGTTTACGAAATAATAAAAGCCTTAGGCAAAAATTTCGTAAGAAAATGTCTGTCTGTGTGTGTGTGTCTATCTATCGATAATAAAATGTTTGCAAACAGCCTTGGCGATATAGTCGAAATCCGTTAGACGTCAAGGACGTTCTGGAAATTTAAAACTACTATACATACCATTACAAATATAGTCTTGGTATTTATTCGCCAAAGCTAATTGTATAGTTTGAGAAGACAAAAAAAAGTCTCTACAATAAAAAAAAAATAAAAAAAAAACTCGTTTGTTCCACAATTAACATCACACAGTTTTTCCCCTTCTCCATAAACAAGAAGTAACTCAATTTCCTTAAAGCGAATAAACATTCACTTTCATGTTTCTTGAATTATTAATGTCTCAAACAAGTTCCTTGTTTACATAAATCATTTTGTACACATGGAGTACTGTATCAAATTGGCAAAAGAGGAAAAAAAAGAGAAGTGGCGGGGGAAAAGAATAAAATTTCGATAATTTGTCATCATACCTGATCACAACGTAGCCACAAGATTATTAAATCCTTGTAACGAAGTGGACCGCCAACACCACAACCGCCTCCAGTTCTTTGCAATTTCAGTAATTCCGAATGCTGTCTTCCGAATTTTTCGTAAATTTCCAGTGATCTGAAAACAAACGGAAAAAATATTTTTAATTTTACAGTCTTAGCACTATAATTAATTTTCAAAAGTAGTAAAAAAAAAGCTGAAGCGTCGACTTAATTTTGGAAATTAAATATTTTTTGATCAACAACATCAAGTTTTGAAAAAATATAAAATGTGTACTTATGGTGCTAGTTATTGCTTCTTCAAAAATATTTATCAAAATTAAGTAGGTGCACTAAACAAATTTATTTGATTCAAATAACTGACTGCTTGTCTGTTATCAATTAAATATTTACTTAAATCAAATAATTTTTATTTAAGTTAATTAAATGGTATTCAAACCAATAATTTCAGTATTTGAAGCAAATATGAACTGAACCATTTACTTATTTTATTATTATTATTATTATTATTATTATTATTATTATTATTATTATTATTATTATATACCATTTATTTATTTAAATATTTACTTGAATCAAGTAATTTTTATTTAAGTTAATTAACTTACCTAAATAAAAATTATTTAAAAAATTGGTATGTGAACCAATAATTTCAGTATTTAAAGCAAATATGAACTGAACTATTTAATTTACTCAAATAAAAATTATTTGATTCACGTAAATATTTAATTAATAATAGTCAAGTAATCGGTTATTTGATTCCAATAAATGTTATTTTTATTAACAATATTCACTTTGTTTCTTATTCTAGTAATAACTTCAATCCTAAATTTTTCAAAAATTCAAATATTTTTTCAATTTTTCTTTAGAATTCTTCAAAAAGAAAGAAAAAAAGTTTTTCCAACTGATACAGATTTTTAAAAAAAAAGAATTAATTGACAATTAAATAATAAAAAAACTTTAGTATTAATAGTATTTTCTAGAAAAAGCAAAAATATTAATTCTCAAAAAAAAAATTGACAATCAAAAAATTTATTTCTTTATACAATTTACATTAAATATAATCCAAATTTTTTGTTATATCGTTTCTTAAAATTTTTTTAAAATGATTCGATAGATAATTTTTAAATAAAAAAAATAAAATTCTTTAAAATATCAAATATATTTCAATTTCAAAAGACTAATTTTTTATTTATAATTTCTAAATTAAATTTTTAAATATTTAAAAATATTTTTAAATATTTTTTTAATATTTTTTAAAAATTGAATAATTTTTGTTAAATAAACATTTAACTATTAATTTAATTAACATTAATTTAATTAACATTTCTTATTTACTTTTCCCCAGGAATTAAAATTTTTAATAACTTCAGTATTTGAACTTTTTAAAATTGAATTATTCCTGAAAATTACAAATGCAATTCTTTCAAAATGCAATTATACTTTTTCCGAATTTTTAAATAAAATGATTCATAACTTTAAGAATTTTTTTAGGAAAATAAAAACTTATAACTATTTAAGATAAATATTTAAATATTATTACAAAGATTTTAATTTAAAAATATTTTGAAAATTAATTGATTTCTAAAAATTTATACTGTAACGCTTTTAATATTCAATTATTAACTAAAATATTAGCTGAAATTTAGTTTTAAATTAAATAAAAATATAAATAATTGATAGAATAATTGATTATTTCTGAAAAATTGAATTCACATGAAGAATATTACAAAAAAATTTTGAAAATAATTTATTTCATTTGAAGAATTTTAGTTTAATTCTTGAAAACATTTATATTTTTCGAAGAATTCATTGTAAATTATTTTAAAAATAATTGAATTCTTGCAAAGAATTTTATTACAATTTTTGAAAATAATTGAAATCCTGCATCGAATTTTATTTAAATTCTTGAAAAATAATTAAATTCCTGGAAAAATGAAAGAAATTGAATTTTTGAAAATAACTAAATTTTTTTTTAAACATTTTTTATTAAAATTTTGGAAAATAATTGAATTTTTTCAAAAATTTTAATTCATTGTATTGAAAATAATTGAAAACCTGAGAAGAATCCAATTATTTGTGTAAATAATTGAATTCTTGACAAAAATATTATTAAAATTTTAAAAAATAATATTTAATTGAATTCTTGTAAAGAATGTTAATAATTTTTTTTAAATAATTGCATTTTGGTTAAATAGAAACTTATATAAACAGAAATTTGTCTGAAAGAAAAATCCTTGATAAATATAAAATCAATTAAATAAAAATTTGGCTAAATAGAAATTTGGTTTACAATAGAATTTCGATTAAATGAAAATTTACTGTTTGGAAATTTATGCGAATAAGACGGTTAAATGAAAATTTGTCTGAATGGCTATTCGGTTAAATAGAAATGAGCTAAAATTAAAATTCAATTGAATAGAATCTCAGTTAAATTTTAAATACAAATGTGTCTTGATAAAAATTTCGGTTAAATAGAAATTTGGTGAAATAGAATTTCGGTGAAATAGAATTTCGGTTAAATAAAAATTGAGATAAATAAAAAAATGGCTGAATAAAGATTTTGGTTAAATAAAAATTGATAAATAGAAATTTGCCTGAATAGAAATTCTGTTGAATATGGAAATTTACCTGAATGGGAATTCAGTTGAAGAAAAATTCAATAAAAATTTATTTTACTAAATGTTTTCTCAAACAATACAAAAATATTCAAAAGAAAAAATTCGAATAATAATTTTCCTCAACTTTCTTCGAAATATTTAAAAGAAAAAAAAATTTTTTTTGTAATACGAATTTACATGCGGAAATGATATCAGGAAATTCTCATCTTTTCTCCTGCATGTGTGGGAGTGGTGAAGTCATAAAATTTCATTACTCGCTTCAAATAATTTCAGATCGTCCAATTTCATTTTGAATCATCAGTCTAAACTTGAACCTGGTATTCTATTTTAGATAAATGTATAGATAGAATTTAGATGCTTTCCGTGTATGTTTTTTGGCGTTTTTCTTTTTCTTCATTCGTTCTTTTTTTTCTCAGTCTAGACGAAAGGGATATTTTAGGTTTAGGAGAATATCGTTCTAGTAAAATCTGGTCCTAATAAAATACAGTGGACAGTATAGGTGATAAATATTGTTGCGGTTAAATTGTCATTTTTAAAAGTAAAAACTGTAATTTTAGTTTAAAAACTGTAATTTCAGCTTAAAAAAATTTTCTTTTAAATACTAATCTAGTTTTCCTTTTATTTTTCCTCAATTTTGTTATTTTTCCTCATCATTCTTGCTATCTGTAAATTGACATGGAGAAAAATAAAACTAGTATACAGAGGGAATATTTTTTTAATTGCAGTTTTACTGTATTTATGTAATGAATACTTTTTTTTATTAAAATTCAGCCTTCGCACTCGCCTACTAAAATCTACTATTTATACTATTTGCACTATTTTTACAATTTGTTACTATTAGCATGGTTGCCACAAAATGATAAATATAAAATTCCAGGCCCTTTTCAGAATTTTCCAGGTCAATACTTATGAAATTCCAGTCGAAAATTAAAAAAATATCTGGTCCAATTACACATCTTCAGCTCTAAAAATTATTTTAAACTTCCAAATACCAAAAAACTTAATAAGAATTACAAACCAAAAATTTTTCATCAATCACAGCCGATAATCAGCAGAAGATGAAAAATTATTTTTTGAGCGAACTTTATCCTTTGTTTACTAACAATTGTTAGTACAAAAATTGTATCCTGGTCCCAAACTATTGCTAAAACAATTCCAATAATTACCTAGGTGATCAATAATTTTTGAGAATAGTTTTTTGATTTCTAGTATTAGCGAATTTAAAGTAGTGGACATTCTCAAAAAATAACAGAAATAGTAGCTTTTAGTGGGTGAAATCTAAAAATTGTATCCAAATAGTAGCATAACGTAAAAAAAGTAGTAAATAGTAGGTTTTAGTAGATGAGTGCGAAGCCTGCAAATATTTTCGATGCTCCAACGAAGCAAAATTGAAAAAGGAAAAATTAATTACACTTCGGGAGGAAAATAATTTTCCCTCCACAAATGGATTAAAGGAACATGATACGTGGGCGTACCAATGATTGTCTAGTAGACGCGACTTGCTTCCGTAGACAACTATACTTAACTTCACATTGGATGTGTGACACGCAAGTCTATTTCGAATGTCAAGAAGAAAACATTAAAATTAGCGTGATGCAGTCGGGAGGTGTCTGACCGAAAGGGAACGAGGTAAATGACCTATAGAGGAAAAGAAACATCTATAATGGCCATGAAGCACAAAATAAAAGACTGGAAAAAAAAATTCATTGGCGTAAGTTAGAAAATTTTCAAAAAAAAAACAACAACAACAACAACAGCACGTGACTGATTGGCCCTGAATTTCTCATATATACGTGAGCGGTAGAATTCCTCTCAACGACATAACGGAAATCCTCTCTCGTGATGTGTCTCGTTATATGCAAAAAGCGCTCAAGGCAAACGCGCACAACTTGCACAGCATCTGTTACAAAATTGCACACACCATCGAAAATCAAGATTTCCCCCAAGGGAAAAACTGTCACACCCCTGCGATCACCTCTTTCCGCAAAAAGAACTGACGAAAATTAATGGCCTTTTATTATTTAAAAAATGAAAAAAAAGGAAGAAATCAATTCCCAGGAGTCGGATTGACTTTAAGGCAGAAAAAAAAGTCTTTTTTCGATTAAAATTAGAAATGCAGAAAAAGTTGATTATGAGGGAATGTATATCATCTGATTTAGATATCAGAAATACGGGAACTAAACGATAAATATCAACAATAAATTACAATCTCACGAATATGATTTTCCACCTTCACTCTGTCGACTATTTGTCATAAAATTTATTACAGTTTAAAGTTTTTTCTCAAAAATTTTTCCGTTTTGTGTATGAAATTACTCGTTAAACTGTTGTTAAATTCCTGTAATATGTTAAATCTTTCAATCTGATCGTAATATATATATATATAACGTAGATATTTTTTGAGAAAAAATCTTTGTAAAATTTTTGATGGTCCCAATAAAGATAAGACGCAACTCGGTAGCTTTTCTCTCTCCTGAGTTAATCTCCGAATGGCTTT